GGGAAGGGGGGGGGGGCAGAAGAAGATATGTTGTACAAACTAATTACTGACACATGAAATGAACCCGAGTAGTAAGTTTTATCAAGGTTTTAAAGCATTATATAAATCCAAATCGTGGACTTGTTGGCGTGATGAAACCAAAATTTTTATTTTAGAAATTAGTTTTCCCAAAAATTGGAAAAAATCCTCAGAATATTTAATTAATCACCAACTGCTAAAAAAACAGCAATAAATAAATTGAGAGCTGGTTTGAAATAGAAATTAAATCGAAAAAAGATTAACGCAACCTATTTGTATTGGATGTATGCTAGAATCCGAAAATTTATGTCAAATCATACACTGAGGCAAAAAAACTTTAGAATTCCACACTGAGGCAACCTAACGTAAGAATTCCATAAGAACTACTTATGACTTTTTGCCACAAGAAATCGGTATGATCTTCATAGATTTACCTTATGAATAATATGGCTAAAAATAATAAAACGAAGCAGACTGGAATCGAACTATGGACGTTGAGGCTACGTGTGTTGCCTATACGAATTACCTAATTTTGGACGAAAATCATTCATAAGTCACGCTTATGAAATTCATATGTGTCGTTCATAAGTCGAGCCTTAAGAAATTATTACGATTATTTGCATTAGTGTAGGGGGCCCCGCAATTAAAAATAGACCAGGTTCCCCAAGGATGGTTAAGACGACCCTCATTACCGTTTTAAAATTTAATAGTTACAACATGCATTTTAATATTGCATGCATTTTAACAATACAATAAGCCGTGTTCGATAGTTCAGTGTTTGCTCGGCGAAATTTATACCATTCCCTTAATTGAATGAATTTGCGTCTGGCTTTATCATTTTCAATTCATTAGTTTTCGAAAAAAAACGAAAAAAATTAACCAGTTTTTACCGGAAGACTGAGCAAAGATGTCTAATAAGTCAAAATCTTTACACTCAATTAGTGTAATTTGGAATGAGAGAGGGTACTGCCAATCACTGGTAGAGTTGAGTTGAATTTAGATAAATTTCAAATCTTGGGTTTACACATTTTTTACATCATCCCTTATACAAAATTATTCCGGAAAAATTAACAATTTGTTTTTCGGAAAATTTCATCTTGGGTAGCAACCCACCTATGTGCAAAGTTTCATTCAAATCGAAGAGAGTCGTGTCCAACCGATTTGCTATTTGGCGTGGAAATGATCGACAGTCTCAAGTAAAAATTCAAGGTGAACATTAAGAACAGAAGCTGATTAACACCAGGCTGATTACATACAGTTGATTAGTAGTGCATAAAGCTAATTGTATCCCCATAATTCAACCTCAGTTAGTAAGCTGATCTAAAGACTGAAAAAGACTTATTTTAAACTTCAAACTACTCGACAAATCAGCAATGCGCTACACATATTTTGATAGCCTGATTGAATAATATGTGTCACTTGTTGCATTTCCGACATTTAAGTTCTTCTGAATTCACTGCCTACCTTTCTATTCCCAAGCAGCGCCAGCAGTAGAGACAAGGAAGAGGAGCTTTTTAGGAATAGCTCCAGGTAGAAGTGGACTGCGACGACGTCGGAAGTTGTATTAACATTTGTATTCCTGTGTTTTGACTGTTCACCACTTTGAATTTTCAGACCGCATTCCAAAAATATAACTCAATTATGACACTAAAATAGCATTCTAATGGCAATCGAAATAAATCGCGCACTTGTGTCCACATTGTGTTAACTGCACTTGAAAATGAGAGGAATGTTTTACTGTCATCAGTTGTTGTTTACACTTCTGCATTGCAGTATAATACTCTCCCGGTTGCTATTAATCAACTTGAATTTGACGTGATGATACCTTTTGCCACAAATATGCTTAATTGTTCTAGTAGGTATTATAGTTGACGCCTGTAAATCAACGACTGCCGGTTTGAATCCCAAAATGCAAATGTAATTTTTAGACATATCATAACAATATAAATGATAAATCGAATTAGTCTGCAACATGGTAAAGCAGCCTCATAAAAATATAAGATACGAAGCGTCTTACATTATTTTTTTGAAATAACTAGAAAGCTGAACAAGGGTTGGAAAAGACTGTTATTTAATGCTTTAAAAAGCTCATAATTCATGTAACTGTTAATCTTTCTACTGATCAAAAACACAAGATTTAGATGTTTAAAAGCTGGACAAAGGTTAACGTGGTCTAAGTACAACAATTATTCAAACAAAGGCTGAATTGAAATCGTTGAAACAACACTTGTTAAGCATCAAATTGTTACATGGGGTGCCAGTTTCGGAGTTATTTGTCACCCTTTTTGTGCATACTAGTGATAGTTATTCTGCGACATATCACACCACATTATAGGATGAATAATGGCAGTGACAAACACCGTTAATGTGGTTTGAGAACAACCTCTCTGGAATCTGTTTTGAGCTAAATCTGAAATTCTCTGACTCGTATTCTTTAAACTGAATTCGAGTATTTTTATGAGAGATGAACTAGCCTATGGCTAAAAATCTCTCAAATAAAGAATTAAAAAAAAAAGAGTATTTCTATTTGAATTTTAAATTGTAAGGGGGTCATCCCTCATACCGTGTGGTATCCCAGCTACCCAACCAAAAGGAACAAATAAGAAATCACTTGACACGGGAATCCAATTGTATCCACTCGATAAAACGTGAGTTATCTAATCGAATGTAGACTACTCAATGGATGCCGATACGAGAGTTGTCACACTCGGCATCCACTGTACAGTGGTTCCATCATTACACACTAAACTATGAGGGGTAGTTGCGGATGTTAACTCCTATGTACTTGTCCTCACATACCGGACAAAAGTATATCACCTCGTAATTTTTTGACGTAGAACTGCGTCTTTGTGGTCTATGCTGGGGTGCAAATAAAATAAAATGTGTGACGAAATAGTGTTAGGTTTTGAACCCTTGTAACTGTATCGTTTATAAAGGGTGATACGGACAAAATTTGGTCAATATCAACTTGACGTATTTCTTTCAATTTTGCATTAAAAAAACCTGAACACCCCTCATTTTGAAGGTGTGTGTGTGTAGAATGTTGCTTCTATTTTGATTTTGGAATTCACTCTTCAGTTGTCAAAATGCCGTCCAAGCAAGAAGAGCAGCGTATCAAAATTTTGCTCGCGCATCGCGAAAATCCGAGCTACTCGCACGCAAAGTTGGCAAAATCGCTAAAAGTTGCCAAATCAACCGTTACAAATGTAATTAAAGTGTTTGGGGAACGTTTGTCGACAGCCAGGAAGTCTGGATCGGGGGGAAATCGAAAACCGGAAGCCGCTGAGACGACAAAGAGAGTTGCCGGTAGTTTCAAGCGAAGCCCTAACCTCTCTCTCCGAGATGCCGCAAATAAGCTGGGTGTATCGTCTACAACCGTGCATCGAGCCAAAAAACGAGCCGGACTATCGACTTACAAGAAGGTAGTGACTCCAAATCGCGATGATAAACAAAATACGACGGCCAAAGCGCGATCCCGGAGGCTGTACACGACTATGCTGACGAAGTTTGACTGCGTGGTAATGGACGACGAAACATACGTCAAAGCCGACTACAAGCAGCTTCCGGGACAGGAGTTTTATACGGCAAAAGGAAGGGGAAAGGTAGCAGATGTTTTCAAGCACATGAAACTGTCAAAATTCGCAAAGAAATATCTGGTTTGGCAAGCCATCTGTACCTGTGGCTTGAAAAGCAGCATTTTCATAGCTTCCGGGACTGTCAACCAAGAAATTTACGTGAAAGAGTGTTTGAATAAACGTCTGCTGCCTTTCCTGAAGAAACACGGTTGTTCCGTACTGTTTTGGCCGGATTTGGCATCTTGCCATTACGGTAAAAAGGCCATGGAGTGGTACGCCGCCAACAACGTGCAGGTGGTTCCCAAGGACAAGAACCCTCCCAACACGCCAGAGCTCCGCCCAATTGAGAAATACTGGGCTATTGTCAAGCGGAACCTAAAGAAGACCAAAAAAACTGCTAAGGGCGAGCAGCAGTTCAAGGCAAACTGGCTTTCTGCGGCGAAGAAGGTGGACAAGGTGGCTGTACAAAATCTGATGGCAGGGGTCAAGCATAAGGCCCGGCAATTCGGATTTGGAAAAGCGGAAGCCTAACTGAATATTTTTCCTGAATTTTATACTAATTGAACTTGAAAAATAAATTTAATTTGATTTTTTAAATAAACGATGTCACCGATTTACACGCGTTTTCCCTTGACCAAATTTTGACCGTATCACCCTTTACTGTTCGGGAAGTACAAACATGAAAAACCAATGAATAATTTTATGAATTCATCACATAAAGGTTTTCGGTAGTTCGGGATGTAGAAATTTTAATGTTAACGGTATAAATTTCCAAGTCCAAGCTCTGAAGACGATGAATGCAAGATTTAAGGAATTTTCAAAATAGTTTTCTAGATTTTTTAAAAGTCAGCTCTGGTAATTCTTAGAAAACCAGGTCTAGAAAATTTTGAAGAAGAGTTGAACATGCCAAATGGAAACAATGACGTTGAACGTCTTTTTCTCATGAATCAAATAATCAAATCACTCCCGCAACGCCCCCGCAAACTAATTCAATAAAGACAATTTCCGATGTTGCTGTTGATTTTTCTGGATGATTTAAAGTAATTGTTTACGTTTTTCGCATTTTCCCTTTTTCATATGCTCGTCCAAGTGTGGTCCAAAACCTTAAATAATTTAAGGACAAAAGCGAGAAATTCAACATACAAGAATTCCCTGATAGTTCGATGGGTGGTATAGTCCACCCACCGCTATTTGCAGGCTCTCCTCCAAGCAGTCTATCTGATTCTTTGTGGGTGACTAGTTTAGGATTAACATTAATGACATGCCAAAAATCAGCTATCGATTGCACATCCTAGATATAGTGGTGGGTCTTTGACCGCCACCGCACTCTACGAGGGATTCCTATGCAGCTTATTTACCCCTTCTGAATAGGATGTACATCCTTTGAAAACCACCGACACAACTTACCTCACTATTTGACTTTCGGCCTCATTGGATCTGTAAATAGAGAGATATAGAAAGAAAACATAAAAATTTTGATGAGCAAAAATTACACACATTAAATGAACCGTACCAGATGAAACTATCAGTCCATCCCACCGTGTCTCAGGGAGAAAGATTAAACATATTAAAATTAATTGCGCAAACATTTAGCAGAGTCGTAACAGCGAACGAAGCCAGCCATATTATTTGTCAAACGATGCTATTTTCTTCAACACCCCTCTCCCCCACCCAGCATGTCGCATAAAGACTCGCCCCCCTAGTGAAGGAGGAGATGCTGCTGAGTATGAGTTGCTAAGATAAAGAAACACACAACATTCGCAATTGGGTGTGCGCTGGCTGGTGCTCCGCAGCGTGTGCTACGAGCTCATTATCCAGGGTAATAAAAGTAAAAATAAAGAAATACTACTTCTCGTAAGATTCACACAGACGACCACAGCACAGACAAGGTGGAAACTTTTGTGGGTGTAAAGGAAAAAAAAATTGCAACCGAAACCGAGGCGTGAAGCATGATGAATAATTAAGATGTGCTAATGCAAATGGTTTCGGTGGGTCTGGTTGGTCGTGCTTTTGGGAGAGTCCTATGGGACGGCAGTCAGAAAAGTTATAACAATTAGATAAACAAACAGCTTTTTAACGATTCCGGTACTTTGATGTGAGTGGGACTGTTGAACGAAGAGTTATAAAGTGTAAAGTTTAGGGTTTTTTTTTTTAAACGGAATGTCTAACTGCAGCCAAGACGACCAAGAGGAAGTTTCCACCGGGACAATAGAATTCTGGGTTCTGGGACGACAGGCTTGAACCATGTGACCGAAACGGGAAGTCACGGCGTGACACAAAAGACAGACATTCTGTACAAAGTTGTCCTCTTGGTAAAAAAAAAGTTGCTAAACAAATATCGCATACGTTCGCCCGTAAATTGGGTTAAAAGTACACTTTCCCAACTTTCCTTTGGTGACCCTTCCGGGTCCGGGCTTCCGTGTGATAGTGAAACCAGGATTTGTCCAGCACCGGCATCAGCTTAGTGGGGGTGGTTGAAAGGTAGATAATTCAAAAGAAAAACCGGAGTGCAACGAAGGGGAAAATTTAATTTATGAGCCGAGTGCAAGTTCTGAGCAAGTTCAAGTTTAGCCAAGCGGTGTTATGGTGGGCAGTTTGACTGGGCTTTTGTATGTTTCTTTCTTTTTTTTTGCGTGGTGAAGGCGTCGTTGTCCGGTGTGGTTGGTCACGCGAGAGATGCCAAGGTGTTGGGATTTGGTTCGTATGTTTTCCCGTCCGGCTGGTGTGTATTTAGTAGTGAAAGTAGTGAAAAACGAACTCCGATAGGTGTGCACCGTTGCGGGTTGATGTTATATGACCGTACGGGGGAGGTTGGTCGGTTGGTTGGTTGGCCGGATCGCTTTCGGATTAGGCCTCCTCCGTCTTGTAAGGTGAAAGTGGAACAAGGAAAACAAAATTTATTGATAGTGTCAATTTGAATTGATATAGTGCGGAAAAAATGGATGCATGCATGTTTTTGGTTTCGCGGTTGGACGGAGTGAAAAATGTGGGTTTTTATGTCCCTAGTCGTTAGAGAGTTTAACCCAGTAGACCCAATCGGGAAACGTCAGATTCTGCTAGAGTTTTACATAAATGATGCACAGATCCTGTAATCAATCAATGCATGTAGAGTAGGGTGGGCCACTAGACTGATGCAAAATTTGAAATTTTTGCTCCAAGCTTGCTCAAGAAGTTTTAAAACGGGTCCTGATTAGCCTCTCAAAATTGAAGCTCATTTGGGAAGAAACTGACTTGGCACAAACCATTTGTAGCTTATATTGAAATTACTTTGGGAAATCCAAACTTTTTGTTCACTGACTTATAGTCTTTTTCCATATCTCTCTGTTAAAAAGTTCTATAACTAATCTTATGAGAAATTTTCTTAACAAAAACTCTGCAGAAAATTGACTTGCAGCCAAACGTCAATTTAAATTGTTATTAATTGGTTAAGAGACTGATAATCTTCTGGAATGATCCAGCAACTGTTTTGTGAGCAACACTGTATTCTACAGTGTGACATAGTAGCCATGATTTTTTGCTCTATTCTACGCGCCAGAAATCCAATGCAATGTTGCCTGCTGAATAGTTGATTGAGCATAGTCATAAGACATCAGTGACTTGTATCATTAATAAAATTTGTTCCTTACATTTTATCGAAAAGTGTTGAACAAAGCTGTAGCTGAGAAAATTTCCTACACGCACAATTATTACCTTTTAAACCAGAGCAGTATGGTGAATTGTTAGATAGATATAAACTTCAAATGATTTGTGCCGAGTCAGTTTTTACTAAATGAGTTCGAATTTTGGGAGGTTAAAGAGGATCCGATTTGAACTCGTTTGAGCACGATGGAGCAAACATTTCGAATTTTATATCAGACTAATGGGTCACCGTTATATGGAAAAACGCAAACTTGAACTCGTCAAACACATTGAACTTTATAGACTCTGGATCTATAAAGTTCAATGTGTTTGACGAGCTCAAGGCTTAATCTTCAGTAACAAATGAATTTTAAAAATGAGAAGCTTGAAATGTTTTTGACATAGGATTACATCTTTCAGCAAAAAACCAAAATCGGCCACGTTACGAAAAGTGGTCAAGTTTGGACCTCTTATTGCTCTGTCAATAGCGGATGGATTTTAATTCCAAACAAGCCAATCGATTGGAAGTTTTTCTATGAATCCGCTAAAATGAACACTTTATCAATTTTCAATATGTCACTATTGAAAATTACACAAATGTCCAACCGGTGTAATGGTGGTAAAATTATCACCGATTGCCTGCAAAAAGCACTTTCCCTAACACAGATTTCAAAATCGAATTGCATCTGGTCCCGCCGAACGGTGCTTATTCAATCACAATGTGTGGTGGTGTCCGGTCGTCATCGCTACTGATCGGATTCAGTTTGAAGCAGTCTTCAAGATGCAGCAAAGCACTGATGTGCAAGCAGGCTTTTGCACTAACCTGAGCATTCACTCTATGTTCACGCATGCACTCAGGCAAATGAACTTGCACCCCAGCATGAGTGCAATGTTTACGTTCTAACATAGCTTGCTTTAGCGTTTGAAAAACATCGTTCGTACTCAAGCGCTCATGTGACTGGCAAACGCGGTACATTTTCAGCGTGGTGGAAAACTAATTTTTATCCTAATATTTATTATTGAAAGGAAGTTATTGCTGGTAAGTACCCTGGAAGCGGTTGTTATTGCGAAGCTATCATGCGATATCAGCTATCAGCTGCCATAAGTAAATTTCAACAAATCCCATAAATAATTCTCCTACTGGTTATTTGATAATGTGTTCCACAATTTTATGAATTTGGTAATTTGGTTCATTAAATAATTCAATAAATAATTTTCTACTGAATAATTCAACCTCGAACCATGAACTTTGAGTATATCAGACTGGAATGTTCACCTCTCGTCTGTTATTACTATGAAAGATGTGTAGGCTAAAGGCGTATAAGAAGCGTTCATCGATTTCATCTGCCCTTTCTGTTGCAACCTAGCAAGCCTCAATGTTCACACTTGCGTACAGGTACGAAGTATCACGTTCGATGTGCAGAGTACACCTGAGTTCGAAAGGTAACATGCGCGTTCAATGAACGTGCACTGAAGAAATTGAAACTCAAGCTCACCGCCGTCTATGTTTCGTGAAGACTGGTTTGAAGTGGTACATAAACATTCTCGAAATGACCAGAAACACTTCGAATTAAGGTAAGGTTTTCTTCAGGACGCTAAAAAAACTATCTCGAATTTATATGATTGATCGCGAATATTTCGCTATTGGAATATTTTAGCAAGGAGTTCCTCCAATCAATATTCCCTTTTTTTTATTATCCATTTAATAAACCAAAAATTCCGTGCGTTTTGTGCACGAAAATGTGAAATTTTGTCATCAGAAATCGAGGCATTTCCGTGATGGGAAAAAGTGGTTTCCCTAGCACAGTCGTCGAATATTGATACCGAGTACGTTATCCTATGTCAAATCTACGGTCGTGCCTTGGATATAACCTCTTACTTTATTTTTGCAATATGCATAGTTCTCACACATTTTAAACTTTTTGAAATTCTGTACTTAAAAGCTATAATACTTCTATGAATTTTCAAGAATCTGGAGTAAAATTCTTTGCTTAGTTATTATAATTATTATAATTTCTAACGACCTCATTCCAAAGGGAGTTTTGGGAAAAAATCTTTGAGAAAAACATCAAGTGCAATCTGTTTTCAAGGTAGTTCTGAGGAATTTTCGATTTCATGTGGCGAGTTGCTTATCGAGTAGAATTTCAAGAAAACTCTGAATTGAATTCAAAGTATATTTTAATAATTACTCATGGGAATTTCTGAGGAGCAGAACTCCTGTGAACTTTAAAGGAAATTCCAAGGCATTCTGAGGGAAATTTCATAAGGTTTGCGGGAGAAATCTAAACAGAAGCATAAGTCCATAAGTGGGCATTTTTGGATAATACCTAGGGGGTGAGGTAAATGCTAAAAGGAGGATTACAATTAAATCTAAGAGTAACTCCCGGAGATCTTCAAAGAGTTTACCAAACAAATTATGAGGAGAAATCTAAGGAATTTTTTGAGGAGAAATGTTAATGAATACATAGAATTTTTAATGTGAGTAGAATTCCAAGGGAAGAAGTGAGATTCAAAAGGAAATCTGAAATGAATTCAATGACAATTCTAAGAATTTTTCCAAAGGATTTCTTACTCAGGAGAATTCCAAACAAATTTCGTGAATAATTCCAACAAAATTTTGAGGAATAACGTATGCGATTACCCTGCTACCTGGTGGTGAATTCAATCATAGCAACCCTGCTGTGTAGGTTGTGTACAGAAAAAAAATGACAGCGTTATCAGTTGATTTGCAGCATGGTGAAAACAGTCAAGCAACTACGCTCGATGGTTTATTTGTACTGCCAGCTCCACCCGGAGCGAAGAAGATGGGCATCGTGAGG